TTATCTCTCCAGTAAGGACCTTCTCCCTCACAAAGTGGCAATCAATCTCTATGTGCTTTGTTCTCTCATGAAAAACAAGGTTGGATGAGATGTGGAGTGCAGCTTGATTGTCACAGTACAATTTCATAGGTCTATCCATGGAGAACCCGATTTCTTGTAGGAGATTCCTCAGCCATACTATTCCATACTATTCCATAACCATGTCATGATTTGGGCATCTACTTGTTCCCAGTCATCCAACCCTGAAGAGTCAGCAGGTGGTTTATCTTCCTTCACATGCTTCACTTTCCTCTTTGCCTTGAGAAAAACTTCCACTGACTTGGCCCATGGTACATAGTTCTCACCATTAAGTTTAATYGAAGTCRTCTVCACACCCARATAGTCAGAGGGAATCACCACACTAGGTTTCTGATCACTACAACCATTTCCAGTTGTTGCCATGATGCTCTTCCAATGCTACTTCTAATCGAAATGCTACTTCCAAACACTACAGCAGTCCCCAAACACAATTGATAGGTACACAACTCACTGACTGCATACAAGCCCTCTTAAAGCTGCTCAATAGAGATTGAGCATCACAAGCACCACCACACAACCATAGTTGTCACACATGGTACAGGTCTGTCTGACCTTTTCAGAGGGCACTACAAGTCCAAAGAAAACAGCAACTACTGCCACTGCAGTAACCTGTCATTCAATTCAGGTCACTTGTGACCAACAAGGGCTTCAAAACAACTACAGACCAACAAAAAAAGGGTCAAACATACCCTTATACCATTCGGCCACTATAAACACAGCCTGTTCTTGGACCTTTTTCCAAGAACCAAGGCAACAAACAACCTAGTTCTCTAGGTTCTGATCAGTCCCCACAGATTTTGAAGGCTTTCAACCCAGAAATACCAACAACACAAAAAAAAGAAGGTAACCAACCTTCGATGGAGAGCTCCAGTCGACCATCCACTTCTGAAGTTGTTCTCTTGAAAAAAAGTCAGGTTCTGCGTAGAGAAAGAAGTACTGAGGTGTTCTCAGACCTAGGTCGAATCTGTGTTCTCCATTCTTCAGCCCAGAAAGAAGAAAAAATAAGGTCACAAACAGAAAGGGATCAAGTCACGAATCTGTGAGGAGATTTAGAGAGCAACGTCCTGCTCTGATACCATGTTATTTCTATAGCTACAGTAGTCCGAACCAGGAGAAGAGAAGAAGAAGAAGAAGAAGAATGGGACAGGAAGTCTCTATTAAGACTGCCACATAAGCACATAACTTAACAGAAATAAATTGACTAATCTACCCTTATTCGGCTAGCTCTAACAGCTATGAAGTAATGAAGCAGAGTCTTGGAAATATAGACACAATGAGGGAAATCAGAAAGCTTGCGATGGAGCTGAGGACAACATAAACATAGATTTCAAGATCAGTCAACAATGTTACTGATGGGCTGGCATGACAAGGGGTAAACTGAAGCCAAATGTATTAGGCCTAAATGTTTAATACCCCAGGGAGGGAATATATAATTTTATGTAAAATCATGCTTTAGGTGGCTAGCCAAAGCTAGCTACCTTAGTGGGGTGCCTGGCACATAAATGTATAAGTTCATCCCACATATTTCAATAAATAAATTCAACCATTAAACTAGTTAGAAATTGAACTCTAGGGAAAAAGAAAATTTGTATGGCCTTTTAATACATGAGTTATGAAGCTCTCAGCATGCATAGGTATAAGGAAATTTACAAGTGTTTCCAATGAAGAAACTCTATTATACACAGCTAGACCAACTCGCTTTGTAGTTCGTGTTTTCCTTGGACAAATATTTTTCCCCCAACGAAGAGCATCCCTGCACTCAAATTATAAGAAATTGCAAGGAAATTTAAGAGAGAAAGATATATGAATAAATAGAAATGAAAACAAGAAAGAAAAATGCCAATGAAGTTGTAAGCAACCATTTCCTGAAGATGTGTATATAAGATAACCAAATGCAATAAATAATTTCTTCCTTCCTCAATTTTCCTTGCAATTTCAATTAATAAAGACTTCTTGTAGAAGTATTTTCACAGAGTTTTCATGTACATATAAATAATCAGAAAGAGAAAGTGCCCATGGATGCTCAAAATAGGAACGAGTACAAATTAATTGGTTACGACTAATGAGAATCATTAATGCTAAACAAAATGTGAGAATATAAAGGCATGACTTCCAAATGGTGTAAACAAATCAAACTCTGCTATTCAAAAATGATCCATCCAAAATACACTCAAATTTTTCAAAAAGCTAATAAGTGCATGCCTAGGTGATTTGATTTCAATGAGCTCACATAGCTACAACACTATCTTGTGAATCAAGTCACGGGCATGCTAATAATCAAATTTAAAACCAAATCACCTTGTGAGTGCAAAGTGATTTGGTTTCTATTAGCCCACATGGTCACAACACTTTTTTGCAACCCTCCAATAAAACATAGACATTCTATCAATCAAATGAAAGATAAAATTACCCGGTGAGCGCATGCTTGTTGTTGCCACCCCAAGTGCAATACGAATGGCCCACTACTAGATGATAAAATGGAAGCTACCTCAAGGATCCACTACCTTACTAGGAATATCAATAAACATGAAGGAAGCCTAACATGTGGAGCAATGAGTTCACATAATCATAACACTTTCTTGTAGCCTCTAATAAAAACCTAGATATGCTATTAGTCAAAGGATAAACCAAATCACCTAGTGAGTGCATGTCTAGGTGCTTTGGTTTTCATGAGTTCACAAAGTCACAACAATTTCCTGCGACCATCCAATAAAACACAAACATGATACCATTAATCAAATGAAAAAACAAAAGGCCCAACGAAGGCATGTTTTCTATTGCTACACTAAATGATACAAGAACAACACACTATCAGATAAAATAGAGGCTACCTCTAGGATATACCACCTAACTGCAACAATCAGGTAATACCAAGGTAGCTTAACATGTAGAGTGATGCCTAGGTGATAAGGCGCTCATGGAGGGTCACCTCACTTAATCACCAAGATATGTTTTACACGGTGTTGTTGGATACTTTATATTCTTAACTTTTTGATATTAAAATAATCAAACAAACATTATTAATTAAACTATTCAATTTGAGTTAAAACAGACTTTACATTGTTCTTCTTCTCCTTTCATCATTTCTTTCTTTTCTTCTTTTACTAGAACAAAAATAGAGGCTCAACCCCTCTATTTTTCAAGTTTTTTTTTGTTCTCCCATTTATTTTCATGAATATGTGGACTGTCTATCTTTTAAATGAAGTTTATACATTTTCTTATGAAGATTATAGACAATTAATAGTGAAAGAGGGTTGCTACTTGCTATAGAACCTAGGAAATTACCCTAGAATTCATGATTTTTGTTCAAAAAAAAATCTCATTGCCTAGGTGGAAGTGTGACAAGGCACCCCCCTATCGCCAAGCTCGCCTTGATGCCTTGCAAACCACATTTTCAATCTCAAGGAACTCTAAAGTCCAATCTAACATCCAATCCGATTAAAATGCAACTTTGATTACTTTATAATATAATATAATATATATTCAATAAATAAAACTTATATAATTATATACCTAATACATAATTTTATATGTTATTATATACATACATTTACATATAAAATAAATTCAATATTTCATATTTATATAAATTTGTTTTATGTATAAGTTAAAAAGTAATTATTTTTATTTTTTAGTTTCTTTATTTATTTTAAAGAAATAAAACACTGAATCGAATTAAATCTGAATCCAACAAGATCCATCCTATCAAAGATCCCTAAATCTGATCAGATTTCAAATTAGGTTTGGATTTCAGTTTCCACTAACCAGATTGGATTTGGATGTTGCTGGATCCGAATCTGAATCCGACCTTTTTCAGTACTATAGAAATTGCCCATAAAAAAGAAGAAAACAAATGGGAAAATGAAAAACAGATTAGATCCAAGGGAATTGATAGAAAATAGATGAAACTTGACGGTGAGAGAGGAAGTAGAAACAAGCCTTTGAAGTGATAGTAGAAAGTTAGAAACCTTGATAAAAGCTTCTTGCACCTATATGTTAAACTATGGAAATTATCGATAGTTCATCAAAATGAATACAATTTCAAAAGTTAGTAATGTTATCTTTCATGCAAATGATATAGGCAACATCCGATTTCAAGCATGGATCCCAACCTAATTTGATAGATAGATAGATAGACTCCACATGCTCAGAATCTTTCATTTTCCTTTTCATGAAAAGTTAAAAAAAATGAATAGTTCAGCCCTAAAAGCAGAAATATCAAACAATGTCACCCATTGTTTTAAAAGGCTGTTGAGGTGAGGCTGGAAAAAAAGGCCTGGCCGCCTGGCCTTGCTAGCCTCAAACCCCACCAGCACGCTAATGTTGAATATGAAGTTATATAGGGGAAAAACAGAAGTTCAAGACAAAAAAAAAAAAAAAAATCCTTGTTTTGTATATATTGGTGTATTGAACAAATAAATAAATATAAAAAATAACAAATAAATGCATTATAGACGTGTATGGAAATAACTTGTTCTATTCTTGTTTTGTATTGTTCATGCTTTATAGTTTATTCTTACATGTTAGTCTGCTTACCCCATACTTGATAATTTATTTCTTCTAGAGTCACATGCATCACACTGATGGTCACTCTTCACGAATACATACCAATGTTGTCAAAATCTTACGATTTACGATACGATTCACGATTTGAATCATGAATCCCAAGGGTTTCGATTTGAATCTTATGTCTAAATCCTTTTCTACAAAAATCTTACAATTTTTGTTTGAATCCTACGATTTGATTCATAAATCTTACGATCTATACGGGTTATAATTCAATTAAGAATTATTTCTCTGCTTGTTTTTTTTGCTTATATTTAGTTTTGCCATGGGAGACTTTTTTTAAAACCCTGACTAGAAAATGATGTATTTACATTACTCAAGACTAGAAATTGAGTTTATTTTCTATCATACGTAAGTTAAAGGGCCATTGTATGTAGATTTGTTTGATTTTCAAGTCAAACTTGATGATATCATCTTAGGTTTCTTTTGTATAAGTGGTAAATTCTATTATTTTAAGTAAATATATGGTAGATATAGATTAAAAATAGGATAAAAGTCACTTTCCTATATATAGTTAGCCTTTTAATATATCTATATTTAATTTTTTGACAAGTTTGTAAGAAATAGAAATAATCTTATGATTTACGATACGATTCACAATTCAATTCAATTTGATTCAACTTTCTCTACAATTTATGATATAATTACGATTTTCAAAACATTGATGCATACAAGTGCAAGAAACGAAACAAGAATCCATTGCTCTTAAAACATTATTGGTTCATATCCCTGAACTAATCAGTTAGATTTATATGGTATTGTTCTTATACTGTTTAGATTTTAGGGAAAGAAAAGTACTCTAGTAGGATTCTAACCCATCTCTAATATATCAAACAAGCCATATAAAATCTTAATTTTATATTTTTCATGTCTTTATTGTTTGTGGATTATATCCTTTTTATTCTCAAGGCTCAAGCCTCAAAATGCCTTGACACTTATGCCTTGCCCCTATGACACTCAACCAGTTTGCCTCTGCCTTTAGCCTTTTAAAACCTTGATTTTACCCAGAGAACAATGGTATACATTCTTTGCACTTCACCTCAGTCCACATATGAGGTTATCAAGGTCATTAGACATTAGCGTTCTCTTTACATATTATTAAATAATGTGAATTCATGGTTAAAAAAAAAGTAAATTCTTCTTGCTTCTCCTGTGGATGAAGTACCAACTATCTATTAATCATCTTAACAAGATTTCAACAAATAAATCAAGGAGATTTCACTTGAATAGGAAGGAATAGATTTAAGAAGATAGCATTTCATATTAACCTTTCTTTCTGTCAAGTAGTCACCCTTTAGAAGATTCTTGAGCAATACATCCTAAAAGACAACAAAAATGAGAGACTTCAAAAAATCTGTGCAGTTTTTTCAGTGTTCATCAACACTCGATATCTTATAGTAAGTAAATGTATTAAAAGAAAAGAAGGATACATACAAATCATACAATCTCAGTTCAGGTGATATGATATCACCAAGATAAGACAAAAAAGAAAAGAAAAGAAAACAAAACAAAACAAAACAAATAACATCCATAACCATTTTACCTTACAGACCATTTCTTCCCCACCAAGCAAACATAACAGGAAGAAAGTAAAAGAAATTCCAGAAAAGCCGATATGAGCATTATGTAATCTCTTATACAAATAACTACTTCTCCTTCCAGACCATTTAATATGCAAACCTTGAATCCTTTCTCAATTTCTTGGAAACTCTTTTTAGAAGATTCTTCTTTATTGAAATTCTTGCTTACTGAAATCTATTTTTCTACTTATCTCTTGAATCTTGATTGTTGCTTCTCTTTGGATTTCAAGATCGGTCCTAAAGGAAAAAAATAGAGATTATTTTCATCCTTACAATAAATTTTTATCAATAGCAGGTCAGTTTATTAATTAATTTAAAAAAAAATCATACATACATACATACATACATACATATACACTCCTTGGTAAATAACCCCCCCCCCCCAATAAAACTGTCAACCATACCATAACCTGTTGTCCATTGTAAGGCCACCCCCTTCTCCTTTGCCAGCCCTTTTTCCTCCCTTAAACCATAATTCATAGCTGAAGGAAGAACAATAGATCCCAATGACAACTGTGTGGTTAAAATACACAAATGATGCTTCTGGAAAGTGAGACTATAGCATATGAATAAATACATGCCTGTGCTTCACAGCATACTATTGCTTTCACATGATCATCATAGTCTTCAATATTGAGAGGAGGAAACAGGAAGTGCCTGTGGGCATATAACTGCATAATTTGAAATCAACACAAGTAAGTCAATAGGAAAATGAAGGTATCCTCATTGGATTAAGATGACTGCATACTGGCATAGCAAGATGCAATTGACCAGTACCTGGGCTTCAGAGTATGCATTCAGGCCAGTGCACCATAATGAAGAGTGCCTATGATGTTTCCAAACTACATTTCTATTGGTTGCACCCCTTTTTTTTTCACATTTGACCATAATGTGGCAAACGTTACCTTGCCCAGTTTAATCTTCTATATTATAATTTAGAGAATAAATACCTATTCAGGGACCTTGCCTAACAGCTTAAGCTTTTAGGTTGAACAGTTCCTTGAGATGGTACCAGAACCTGTTTGATCAAGTGGTCTTGTGTTAGATCCTTGTCACCCCATTATAATTAATTAAATTTCAGCACAAGGTGGGCCTGTGCTTGTCCATGCTTCAAGCCCAACAGGCGGCTTTCACATCAAGAGGTGTGTAAGAGAATAAAAACCTATTCAGGAACCTCACCTAATTTTCGGTTGAACAGTTCCATGAGAATAAAATTCTCATAGCACAAACATTCTGCAGGCACTTTTGGCGTTTGCACTATGATTCTATGAATAGTTTCTTTTCTTCCTTTTATCTACAAGTCCAAAATTGAACATAGTTCTTTCCCCTAACCAATCCTCACCATTCCCGAAGCATAACAGGATATACCAAAATATTCAAGGTTAGAACTTAGAATTATCAGCCAAGTCTAATTAAATCATTTGAAAAGAACATTCTCAAGCAAGTTAACTGCAATGTGATCCTGCAGGCACGCCACATGTGAACCATAAAATACAACATCTCAATTTTACCTCATATATGCAATCACCAATATATGCTAAAGACGCCGCATTGTATATTGATCGAGGCCTTTTCACCTTGCGTAGAGCTGGCAACCATTTCTCGGAACCCAAATATCCCGATTTTTCTGTTGTGTTTGTAAATTTGAAATCAGAAAAAAAAACGCAATAAACATCAATAAGATTGCCCAGGCGATTTCAATGCGATACTAGAGAGTGTGTGAAAGAGAATTGAGTACCTTTTGTAGGATTGTGGATATTCAAGTCCAGAAGTTCTGAAGCAGTTAAGTTCTTCTTCGGAGTAACCGGGGCCGTTGTTGTTGTGATCTGTTTGGTTTGAGAGGTTGGAGAACGGACTGTGTTAGGGCTTTTGTTGTTCAACAAGGAGCTGGAGTGACTGTGATTGGGGACGAGGGTTCGCTGTGTGTCCCATACTCCCATGAAGCTTTCACCAGTCTCACTGAAGCCATAGAGGAGGCTACAGCCATTTCTTCTTTGTTCCTTTCCCTTGCAAGCAAGATGCTAACGAGTCACGATTTTTAAATGATCATTCCATGCTTATCTGGCTTCGCGGTCTTTTAAATCAGCTTATAGACGTTAATCAAGAAAATTTACGAGGGAAATAGTGTCCTTGTCGATGTATCACCGCCGTTGGTTCGATTAACGGCGTAGTTTGGGCCGGGGAAACGAGTCTGAATCTGCTCCTCACACTGAAACTTTTCATAGATATATGTCACCATATATCGAGAACATCTCTCATCATATTTATATGGTATTATTCATGGATCCGGCTGCAATAAAATAAGCAAAATTACAAAGGGATAAGTAGACATCTCAGAAATTTGAAATTACAGTCCCGTTTCTAATCTATTAGTGTCCTTGTCGATGTATCACCGCCGTTGGTTCGATTAACGGCGTAGTTTGGGCCGGGGAAACGAGTCTGCATCTGCTCCTCACACTGAAACTTTTCATAGGTATATGTCACCATATATCGAGAACATCTCTCATCATATTTATATGGTATTATTCATGGATCCGGCTGCAATAAAATAAGCAAAATTACAAAGGAATAAGTAGACATCTCAGAAATCTGAAATTACAGTCCTGTTCTCTATTAGTAATCCCTATAAACCACATTCTGTCCGTATATTTGATATCAATTCACAGTCAGGATTCATCTCATCTGTACGATGAAACTAAAATTTTTAAAGTAAATTAAACAATAAAAACCCTAAAATCTGTATTTGGGGTGGCCGATGGGGATTCTTTTTGATGAGGGCAGATTTGGCCCTCCGGTGAAATTGTGACACCTGGCACCTCATACAAACCAAGTGCAGCCTCTTAACAACTGGGCAGCTCGGTAAAACTTGCCACAGCTTGCCACTTACAGACAACTCGGCATGGCTCGCCACAGGCAGCTTGGCAGAGCTCGCCACAAGTAGCTCGACATAGCTCGGGGAGCTCGGGAAGCTAGGGGCAGCTCGGCATAGGCAGCTCGCCACAGGCAGCCTAGCGTCTTACGAAGAGCTCGGCACTTACAGGTAGTTCGGCATAGGTAACTCGCCACTTAGGGGCAGCTCGGCATATCGCAGGAAGATCTCCTGCCTGACAACCGTACCTGATAGATCCGGAGACTTGCGCCCACATCTCTCGCTAGGCGGCGCCGTGCCTGCCAGCCCTGAAAGCTGTCCCTTGATTGGCAGAGTCGTACTCTGCAGTAGTCGCCTACACCCGCCACCTCAGCTCTAGCAGTAACGGTTGCGGCAGAGAGATAGAGGCGATTACGCCTGACTTGACAGAGGCTGTTACGCTTGATTTGACAGAACACCACTATATAAGGACTCTAACCCCCAAAGACAAGGGGGAGAGAATGAAAAAAATGGAGGTAATCCCTGCTCTCTAACTCTCTCATTTCTCTCCAAGCTCCCTACAATCAGAATGCTAACTTAGGCATCGAAGAGTCTCCGTCGGGAAAATACCCCCGGGTCCTCAGATTCAGTTCTCGCAGGTTCCTTAGCTCTCGCTTCTACAAAGAGGAGGAAAAGATGGAATTCTCGCAGGTCCCTCAGCTCCCGCCGCCTACAAAGGAGAGGAGATCACCTCATGCAGAGGGCAATTGGGTTGCACTACACCAGGGAGCTCCACCATCCCTTGAGTTACAGGCCGCCTAGGAGCAGGTCAAATGACGAGTCCACCTAGGTAACTCACCGCCAGGGAGCTCGTCACCAGGTAGCTCACCGCCAGGGAGCTCGTCACTAGGTAGCTCACCGCCAGGGAGCTCATCACCAAGTAGATCACCGCCAGGGAGCTCGTCACCAAGTAGCTCACCACCAGAAAGCTCCACCATCCTCTCCTGGGAGCAGGTTAAACGGTGAGACACTTGGCCAAAAAAAATTGATACGTGACCAGAAACGGTTACATCACTTTTTAATTCTAACCAACATAATCAATAACCTGAACTTTCAAAAATTAAGACTCTTATCCATCACTATTAACAAATGACGTTACGGTGAGTGTGGTAAAATTATCAAAATGTTCATCTTGAAACTCCTATGCAATTCTAACAATGAATTTGTTGAACCATTTGGAAGAATGGTTAGATTCTGATGCAAGGTCGGTTTAATAAAGGTTGAAAGAGACACTCCTGATGTATTTTTAATTTATTTTCCAAGGTTCAATGTATTGATACAGCTCGATACACTAAATTGGGTGTATCGGACTTTGTATCAACACTCTTTTATAATTTTTTTAGTTTTTTTTCAAAATATGCTCAGGGGTGAGTTAAAGGCATGGGTACCGATGATGCACGATTTGGTCACTCTCTACTGGAGTACAGCTCAAATGTCAAACTGGTGATGTGGTTGGGTCGAGCTGCAAGGCAAGACAATCAGAGTGTTTTACCCGGTGTGGGCACTGTAGTGCTTAAGTTAACGATGGAGGTTTGAAAGAGCTAATAGTTTGAAAGCAATAGAATGCGAGAGCTAAATCATGTGTGTACCTTGTGAAGTTGGAGGGGAAGCGATCACTATCCCGTCTAATCCAGAGTCAGTTTTGCATTTGAAGATTGACTCCGAGTAAGCTGATAAGGCTTATTCAAGTCTATCCGAATCAGGTAGGTGAAGATAAGATCCGTTGGTGTGCACTGTGATCCTGAGAAAAATGAAGACAACTGGTTTGCTTCTAAAAGGAAGTTACGAGGCACCTTGGCAAGTCAATGGATGTAACGATTTATTCAGGCCTCGGTCTAATTGAATGACTCGATGTACCTGAAGTGACTAGGACCACTGAAGTGTCCAAGGTTACTAAAGTATTGCCATATCATTTCATCACTCCACATGTCATTACAGATGGGCCAAATTATCCCTCATTAACTACCCCTGAAACAAGTCTTTCAAAGCTCTTAATATTTTGCATATGAGTGATCCACCGATATGTGACCAAATTTTGAACGTGTTTTTATATTTCTTCAACTGGGGTTGCAAGGGAGTATGTGCCTGTGGTTGGAGCAAGAGCCCCGACTTAGTAGGCAAGCATTGTAAGCATGTTGAAGGGAATAAATATTCTGACAATTGTATTAAAAGTTGTTTTTAATTTTTCAAGGGTAAGACAGGAGATATTTTTAAGTGACCGGTATAAAAAAAATTCTCTAAGTGCTTATCCAAGATGCTCACCACGTGTGCCTATGTGATCAGGACTGAGTTGGAGAAGAAGTGAACACATCTAGAGGTGTCGCATCTGTCCCATGACTCAAATAACTACTTGCAGTGAAAGTCTTTGTCTTTTGTCCCATGTGGATAAAACCAAACACCTCCTGTCAACAAGATGCAACTATCGCATGAGACATGAAGAGTAATTGATATGGTCACCTGACACCCCATCAACTAGGTCCAAATAGGAGACATGAGATCAAACCCATGGAATTACAGGCTGATATGATCCAATGGAACTCATGATTCTACATTTATCAAAAAAAAAAGGGAAAAACACATATTAGTTATTCACCGGATGTAATGTGATGTGCACCTTGAAATGTTTCAAAATTCTGAAGGTAAGTTTGAGAGTGGTTAAAAATAAATGCTAATTTAAATAAACACTTATTTTGGGTTAGGATTATATCAATAAATACTTATTTATATTTGGGAAATAGGCCTGGATAAATGCTTATTTTATTTATTTGAAAAACCTTAATTTCGGGCTTATTTTCAAATGTTTATTTCCCTTAAAACTTTTCTTGGCCCGCCACTGTCCTTTTTTTCACCAAACACGTATAAACATTTATTAAAATAAGCACTATTTTTCTATTTTTCAGTTAAGCACTTCCGAACTCCACCTAAAACTATTATTCACATGTTTCATGACACGGTTTTATGAGGGATTTTCGAATTCTACCAAAGTGACCTTGTATCAAGATTTGGCCATTCTTCAATATCAGAATTGCATAAAAGTTAAAATGGGAAATTTAATAATTTTATCACTCTGTTAGCGATGCTGAATTTAAGTGTTGATTTTTTTTTCTTTAATTCAGGGCATGGTTTTCAAAATCGGACCGCCGGACGATTGGACCAGAAAACCAGGAATTGGTCTAGTGATTGGTTCTGTTTTACCCCAGAACTGTTATTTGACCAAAAATCATTGATTTGATCAGAAAATCATTGACCTGGGCGGTCGAACCATTCAAACCATCTTACAGTTTTGGCCGTTTTTATTTTTTTAATTTTTTTGTCAGAATGAGCCATCCATTCAATTCGAACGGTCAGACTGTTCGACCTGGGAACTAGACCCTTGACTAGTTCGTTGTCTTCGATTTTAAAAACCTTAATTCAGGGTATTTGATTGTTAATACACTTGCAGCTGACCCATTAAATGTTACTACCCGAAAATATTAATTTTTCGAAAAGAAAAAATCACATATGAACAAAAACAGCTATCCTCATTTTTCTGCATTTGACGTTTTCATACTTTGAGTTGAGACTATGGCATGACGTTTTCATACTTTTGACGTAGAGGTATTAATACTATAGGGGGTAAATTTTTTAAATTACTCTTATGGTTTAGCTAATTGACTAACTCTATCTCTACTGTTTATATATCGTATTAAAATGAAATGTTGAATTTATCTTCCACTATTCTTCAAAATTTTAAAATAAAACCCAACTGACTAAAATTTTCAAGTAGATTCACTACTCTATTTCTGTCTCTGTTTTTCCTCTCCATCTACATTTTTGTCTTCATCTCTGTCTATGCCCTTCTTGTCGTATCTCTCACCTAAGTTGAAACGGCATGCATTTCGAGGTTAGACACCAAAACCCTCCATCCTCTCTCTCTCTCTTAAGTCCGAACTGTTCATTCTGACATACTTCTATTTCTGCTTTGTGTTTACTTGAAAATATTAAGAGATGAATGTCGGAGATTTAGCATCTGCTACAAAATCGCTAACACCATCTTCTTCTAGAGAAGATTAAAAATGAGGAGAATGGTAGGTATACCAAGATGGGATCAAAATCTGACAAGACGTCAAAGAAAGCGGTGTTACTCAGGCCCCGTTCACTTTTCGATAAGTTATTTATCCGAGTAAATGCAATTACCTAGATAAGTTTTTTCTAAGAGGCACTTACCCATATTCTTTTATTTCCTAGGTAAATAAGACAATGGCCATTATTATTAAAATGAGCATTTTTGTCCC